TCAAAGGAGAAGACCAAATAGTTGACCGGTCAATCTTGAAAATTCTGGAAAGGGAGACTTTAATCGTCAGCAAGTGGGTATTTGATCGGTCCGAATTTGACCGGTGTACTTCGGGAAAAAGTATACCGGTCAAACTACTTATCACTCCATTCATTCCCTAAGTACGATAAACTCATCCCTCAGAAATTACCCGGTGTAGTTTCTAGGGTTGGAAAGTGTCGGCAGAGGAGAATCTACGAGGGCTTGGCGTGTAGCAACTCGTGTCAGTAGAGGACAACTGGAGATGCTGAAGAATCCATCCAAGGCACTACCTGACAAAGGGAATAATCCCCCTCACAAGGCGACAAGGTAGCTAAGAGACGAGGCCCATCACCTCTCAACATCCGAGACACGTGCCTCCACGTGGGCACACGTGGGCCTGTCCCCCCAAACCTAGTATAAATACGGCTGTAACTCTCAGAAGTAGGGATCGGAATTCATTCTCTCTAAACTCCCTTGTAAAAGCACCCGTGCATTCTTCGTTATAATACAAATTGGGCTACAGGTGTTCCACCTAAAATCCTACCGGTCAATCTGCGTGTTTTTACCTTTCTTACTTTGCCATATCGAACAAACTATTCTAGACCCGGTCTAGTATAGTTTGACCAGTCAAGTAATTTACACCATCATTTTTGGCGCCGACCGTGGGACCGTTAAGGTTTCTTCTCCTAAAACACAAACCTACCCACCAAAACACCACTCGAAATGTCTTCCAGCCAACAAATCAACGCTACTTCCGCACAGGTGCAAGCCACCAATGAGGGCGCCAGCATCTCTGTGGCTGCTACCATACCGGTCATTTCAGCCCCGGTGTTGCCTCTGAATCCGAGCTCTGTCTCGACGGCCAGCGTGATCAGTCCCTTCGCAACCCCCGTCCCTTCCGCTGGACCAAGGGTCACGCTCCCACCAAGCATGGCTCAGTTCTTGAACGACCCAGCCAACCTACAAGCCATCCAGGGCTTTGGCTAGGTCATGGCCATGTGCCAGCAGAACGGGGGGATGCCTTTCCTCCCTGGTATGTTCCCATTCGCCCTTCCAGGCGAGGGGACCATGCCCCTACAAGCTCTGATGGCGGTGACGTCGTTCCAGACGCCGATGCCGCAACCATCACCTTTCCAGCCCCAGCTGGTCAGCACCATGGCCCCTGTCAACTTGACCGGCGCACTTAACGCCGCAGGGCCGTCGCGTCCCCCGCAAACTACGAATCCGCAAATCACTCCTGATGGTCATTGCGTCACGATTGAGAGTGATGACGGCGAGTGGGACATCCCGAGGTCCCACAAGAAGAAGAAAGGTAAAAACATCCGGCCAGCGACCTCCCGAAACTCCGCCTTCGAAAGGCTGGGGGATAGGGAGGAAGGCCAGAGGAAGTCAGCCAAGCAAAGGCTGGGGCAGAGCGTTGCCCATGTCAGCGCGTTCGCCCGGCTAGGCGAGGTGCGGGAGCCAGCGAGGACGAGGGCCTCCCACCAGGAAGGGGAGGCAGAAAGCCAGCCCAGGTTACCGGTGGCGAACCGGTTAACCATCCCAAACGACCGCGTCCAGCAGATGGAGGCAAAGCTGGAAAGGCTGAAAAAGAAGGTCGGAGAGAAGAATGACCGGGACAAACCCCTGGCAGGGTCCCCGTTCACCACAAGGGTCCATCTAACACCTTTCCCTCGAAAGGTCAAGATCAACGCCCCTAGATTCACCGGGAAGGAAGATCCGGAAATCCACCTGGACTCCTTCAACCAGAGTGCGACCATGAACTGTTGCACCAATGAAGAAAAGTGTCTTCTTTTCTTCCAGACCTTGCGGAACTGAGCCACTGAATGGTTCAATAAGCTTCGCCCGGGAAGCATTGACTTGTTCAGTGATTTGACCTCAAAGTTCAAGGCCAAGTTCCAGGAGAATTGTACTAAGAGGAAGAAGTTCACTTATCTTAGTACAGCCGGGCAGAGGGAGTCTGAGAACCTCAATCAGTTCCTTACCCAGTGGAAGGAAGAGGTAGACAAGGTGGAAGAGATGGATGATAAGACCGTCATATCCCTCCTCTTGAATGGCTTGCGTGCTGGGGAACTATACAAGGAGTTCTGCCGGAAACCCCCAGCCACGTACCAAGAATCCTACCATACTGCGTGGGAGTTTGCTGAGGCTGAAACCCAACTCCGGGCAAAGAGGGAAGCTGAGCATGGTCACAAGTCCAAGCCGGTGCAAGTCAAGAAGGAAGAAGCACCGGGACCTAGCCGGCCGAGGCACCACTATGGCCCGGTCATCCGAGTGGTCAATACGGAGGAATGCCAAGAAGTCCGGAAAGCACCGGTCATTCCTCTAGAAAACCCTACCGGTCAAGTAGGGCGGCGGTGGTCAGGCACCTATTGTTCGTACCATAGGTCAGATTCCCATAACACCTCCGAATGCAAAAGTGTTAAGGGAGTAACCCGGCAGATGATCGACAGTGGAGAGCTGGGCAAAGATTACTTGCAGAAAGCCCAGGAGAAGAGTCATCAATGGGTTAGGCCAACTGCCCCAGGGAATGACCGGGACAACGACCGACGGAGGAATAACCGGCCAAGAGAGCGGCAACCTGTCCCCGAAAAGGAACACATCGGCATGATCTTCGGCGGACTCGAGGGTGGAGATTCAGCCGCGCAGCGGAAGAACCGGGTCCGGAGCATTTACGTTGGAGAGGTAAGTGTTGAACCGCCCAGGCGTAAGCATACTAGGAGGGAGCCTATCGTCTTTACTGACCGGGATCTCCCTCCTACCGGTGAAGATCACAATGATCCATTGGTCATCACCATGGACATTAATGGGGTGGATGTTGCCCGGGTACTTGTTGACACCTGTAGCAGTGTCAACATCTTATACCTGGAGACCTTCTAGAAACTCAGGTTGTGTCGAACACAACTTGAACCCCTCAAAACCCCTCTCTCAGGCTTCACGGGGGACACCATTGAAGCTGAAGGATCCATAGTTCTACCGGTCGAACTAGGATCAGGTGAAAAGACCGTGTGGAAGAAGATGCGGTTCATAGTTGTGGACATCAAATGCGTCCACAACGCAATTCTTGGAAGGCCAGGCATCAATAGAGTTGGGGCGGTGATTTCCATGCCTCATCTATGCATGAAGTTCCACACTCCAGGTGGTGTGGGTGAGGTGAAGGGCGACCAGAGGAACGCCCGGGAGTGCTATGCCCAGGCAGTCAAGAAGATGACCAAGGGGGTCAATGTCATCTCCCAAGAGATCACAAAGGGAGAGACCCGGGAGAAATTGGAGCCCGAGGCCGAGACGGTGGAAATCGAACTTCACCCGGGTGATTCTTCGAGGATGGTCAGAATTGGAGCAAATCTCCCCGAAGATCTCAAGGAACAGATTACACGGGTCCTCCAAGAATACGCGGGCATATTCGCATGGAGCGTGGCGGATATGCCCGGGATAAATCGCTCTGTTATCTGCCACCGGTTGGCCGTGAGAGAGGGAAGTCGACCGGTACGCCAAAAGAAGCGGTACCTTGCCAGTGACCGGCGAGACTTCGTCAAGAAGGAAGTGAAAGACCTCCTCAGTGTTGGCCACATTCGGGAAGTCAAGTACCCGGATTGGCTGGCCAACGTTGTCCTTGCTCCCAAGGGCGACACGTGGAGAATGTGTTTGGATTATACGGACTTGAACAAGGCTTGTCCGATGGATTCATACCCCCTCCCCAGTCCAGATCAAATGGTGGACGAAACTGCGGGGTGCGAACTCCTAAGTTTCATGGATGCCTTCAAGGGTTACCACCAAATCTACATGGCCAAGGAAGATGAAGAGAAGACGTCATTCCTCACACCCGAAGGAACCTACTGCTACCGGGTAATGGCATTTGGCTTGAAGAACTCGGGGGCAACCTACCAGCGCATGGTGAACAAGCTCTTCAAGCTACTACTGGGAAAGACCATGGAGGCATACGTCGACGACATGCTGATCAAAATCCAGGTATCTCTGAACCACCCGGCTGATATGCGAGCCACGTTCGATATCATGGCAAGATACAACCTCCGGCTGAATCCTAAGAAATGCGTCTTCGCGGTTCGTACCGGGAAGTTCTTGGGATTCATGCTGACCAAGAGAGGAATAGAGCCCAACCCAGAAAAAATCCGGGCCATCACTGAAATGCAAGCCCCTACCTCCGTTAGGGATGTTCAAAAGTTGACCGGTCGTTTAGCGGCCCTCAGCCGGTTCCTTTCCCGGTCAGCTAAGAGATCCCTGCCCTTCTTCAAAGTTCTGAAGAAGGCCAACACATTCGCATGGGACGAAGAATGCCGGAGGGCATTCGAGGAGCTGAAAGAGTACCTAGCGTCGGATATTGTATTGTCTAAACCCGAACCGGGTGAAACTCTGTATCTGTACCTGGGAATTTCCCCAAATGCTGTAAGCTCCGTTTTAATAAGAGATGATGGGGCGCAAAAGCCCATTTATTATATGAGCAAAGCACTAAACGGGGCTGAGAGTAGATATACGGCGATGGAAAAGACAGCCTATGCGCTTTTCATCTCCGCAAAAAAGTTAACATCCTACTCCAAGCTCACCCGGTAGAAGTCTTGACTGACCAACCGCTGGGTGCAGTGTTGCGAAATTCAACATCCTCCGGGAGGATGGTGAAGTGGGCGATGATGTTAACTCAATTCCACATTGAGTACTGGCCGAGGTAGGCAATTAAGGGATAGGCCCTTGCTGACTTCCTAGTAGAAATGACCGGTCTAACTCCAGACTTACCGGTCAACAAGCCCACTGAGCAATGGTGGGAGATGGCAGTTGATGGGGCATCCGGTCCTAGAGGATATGGGGGTGGTATCGTGTTCACCACCCCAGAAGGGTTCAAGATCTACCATGCAATCGTCTTCAACTTCAAGCTGACGAACAATGAGGCAGAATATGAAGCTCTGGCTGGAGGGCTCAGACTTGCCCAAGCCCTGAAAATCAGCCGGGTCAATATCAAATCTGACTCTAGCCTAATAGTAGGGCAGGTGACCGGTAACATGGAAGCAAGGGAAGGGCGCATGGCACAATACAAGGACCTTGTACTTGCCCTGTTGAAAGGCTTCGAAGAATTCAAGATCGCCCAAATTCCCCGGGCAGAGAACGCGGATGCAGACCTTCTCTCCAAATTGACGCAGTATGCTCCCGAGCATGTGTCGAAACTTGCCCGGGTAGAGATCCTTGACCGTGCAAGCATCGAGAAATTGGAAGTCGCCGCTATAACGGCCGGAAGCCAATTTGACCGGTCAAACTAGGTCGGGGCAGACGACCATTGGATGTATGATCTGATGGAATATTTGATGGATGGGAGCTTGCCAGAACAAGATGACCGGGCAAGAAAAGTAAAGCTCAGGGCACCCCGATTCCAGATTCTTGATGGGAAGCTGTATAAAAGGGCGTTTGGGGGGCCACTCCTGAGATGTCTGACCAACTGGGAGGCTGAACGAGTCATAGCGGAAGTCCACGAAGGCGTATGCGCGGTGCATCAAATGTCCCGTACGCTTTCCCAACGCATCATCTTGTTGGGGTATTACTGGCCAACAATTGTCCAGGATTGCGAAAGGTATGTTCAGAAATGCCGGACGTGCCAAGTATTCTACAAGTATCCTGGTAGACCGGCGACCTACTATCACCCTGTATCAAACGTCATCCCATTCGCTAGATTCGGGGTTGACATCATCGGGACATTCCCAGTCGCCCAAGGAGGGAAGAAGTTCGTGATCGTAGCCATCGATTACTTTACCAAATGGATCAAGGCCGAAGCATTGGCCAACATCACCACACAACAATGTAAGAAATTCATTTGGAAGAACATCATCACGAGATTTGGAGCGCCCATGAACCTCATCACCGACAACGGCCCACAATTCCGAAATCCAAGATTCACTGAATACTTGGAGGGCTTCGGGATCAAGCACAATCGCTCCTCGGTAGCGTACCCCCAAGGGAATGGCCAAGTCGAAAACGCCAACCGAACGATTGTGGATGGTCTAAAGAAACGGCTGGGAGAAGCAGGAAACAAGTGGCTGGAAGAGCTCCCACACATCGTATGGGCATTCCGAGTAACACCCAGGAGGGCTCATGGGGAAACTCCATTCTCCCTAGACTATGGATGTGAAGCAAGGCTGCCCATCGAAGCTGAATTCCCAACGTTTCAGGAGTCAAATTATCAACCCCAGCAGAATGAGGAAGATCACTTGGCCGAACTCAACTTGGTCGAAGAGCGGAGAATGGCCGCGGAAGTCAAAATGAGCACATACCAACAAGTTGTGAAGAAGTACCACGACAACAAGGTTAGGCCGCGTTACTTCCAAGTAGACGATGAAGTCCCGCGAAGGAGAGAGGCTAGTAAGCCGGGGGACGGAAGAAAGCTGGCCATGAACTGAAAGGACCTTACCGGGTGAAAGCAATCAATTGCCCGGGGACCTACCGGTTAGAAACTCTAGAAAGTGAGGCCTACTTTTATTATCAATCGAATTGATGGCATTCGGCATTCTACGTGATAGCAACAAAAATGATAGGTCGAACCTATCCTAGGAGGGCTTCCCGGGAGGATCGAATCCACTTGGATAAGCCAACTGAGACACAGGCCCGGACCTGGCACGCTGGTTACTACACCGGTCTTGCTCAGTATAATAGAAAAAATAT